ATCAGCGTCACGGGTTGGCTTCGGTGTGAGTGGTTGAAATAGCACGTCGATAAAGATGACAGACAAGTGGCTTATCCAATCATATGCAAGGATTTTTGATAAGGCCCAGCCTTCTGAAACGCCATTTCAATGGATCGGTTCCAGATGGATGAGTGGAGCTAGGCGGAGCGAAATTCATCTGGCCAGGGCCAGGTTAAGGAACACGTGCAACACGTCCAACAAGTGCTTCAGAGGTTGCTAGAGAATGGGCTTTTTGTCAAAGCAGAGAAATGCGTTTTTCATGCACAGCCTGTTCCTTTCCTAGGACACATCATCTCGGTTGAGGGAATGCGCATGGATCCTGAGAAAGTTAAAGGTGCAATGTGTAAGAATTCTGTGGATCTATTGACAGAAATGCAATATAAAATCCATAACTATGTGTTTAGTAGTGTATAAAGACCTTACTTAATGAACCGTAAAGTTTGTATTACCTTAGAATGAGTCTTTTAAATCTACATAGGGGTGGGAATCCCCTTCTATGAAGGCAGCCATGTTGTGACGTCATATTTCTACTGTAGCCGACAGCGGACAAACATCGTTACAGAGCGCGTTTCGTATATAACCGGAATCAGAAGCAGCAGAAAAAGACGCTGCAGAATTTCCGGAATAACGATGGACCACACTTACTGTTCAGGTAAAGATCCGATATCGCCGGGTAAATCTACTTCAAAGAAGAGAAAGCATGATGAAGCTAGAAAAATAAGGCAGAATCGTAGACAAAAATCGCGGGTCAACATCGGTGTGGCCTTTCCTAGATGGAAGGATCTTATGAGGGAAAAGGGCTTTCGTAGCGACGCCGAGGTTGCCTGTTTTCTGCTAGACAGGTAAGATATTCAAACTTTAACGATCAAAATTAAAACTGTTGTTTGATAATGTGAGCATAGTCATTGACACCGTGTTTCAGACAGTATAGTAAAATATGTAACGTTAGTTAGTTTGTTTCATGTAACTTTGTGCTTCTCCCTAAAGTTAGCTGTATTAGCTATGTGTTTGCTATGTGAGAAGAAATTTGCTGGTTACGTTCGTGAGACAATTAAGTTAGCTGATCAGTATAATTATTCTACATATTAAGGACCTTGATCCTTACCTGATTATGGATTTGTAAACATTATCTAGGATGTGTTTTTATAATGTACTGTTGTATAGAAACAATCATAATGTTACACACAATTGGCTTACGTTTGCTATGTTGTCTGTCGGTGATCATACTTGCACCAGACGTCATATTTTTGGGGATGTTCAGTTTATAAGGCCCGATGAGCAAACCATAAAAAGATGCTACACATTGTGAATTACAATACAGTAATGTATTACAGTCGTATACGACAGTGTCAAGTAGCACTTCATTTATTGATGCTGCTGTTGTTTCTCCAGGTATGAGACAGGTCCTACAACATCAACTCCCTTGAAGTCAAAACCTTTTCAAGTCCCAGCTACAGCATTGTCAAGTATAGGTGCTTCCAGTGGAACAGACAGGTGAAATATGCATTATGTCCTATCGATTTTTTCCTATTATCTTTAATTATAAAAGAGATCATTATGATTATTGTGTAATTTGAATTTATATTTGGTCTATATCTAGTGTTGAATGTGCATATGTGGGATATACACAACTTTCTTTGTTAATTCTTTACAGAGATGAGCATCTTGATGTCATTGTTGAAGCCACTGAAATTCAGGGCCTTGAACAAAGGTAACATGTACACATCATAACATTTTAATATTTTAGTCATGTATTGCTTTTCTCCAAATGTTCTTAACATATATATATTTTTTTCCAGCTTACATGACATGAGCATTTTGGAGGAGAATTTGGAGCCAAGTGTTTTCAATGACCCAATGAATAGTGTGTAAGTATTACTTTATACTTAAATTGATAATTTTTCATGTAAATTATTTAAGTATTTTTTTTTAACTGAAAATTGTCATTATGTACAGAATTGATTGGGCAGATGAAGCTTCCCCGTACTCCTTTGAAAGAGATGATGGGCAGAATGGTTTCAGCTCGGATGAAGAGTATCTTCCACCAATTTCGATACGGTGTGTTATTTGTCATTCTCTATTTGCAATTGTTTTGTGTTGTCTGTTTACTACAGATTTTTGTGCCTCAACAGAATGGGTGGAGCACTGAAGAAACCACACTCTATCGATGGACTTCCTGTTATTGGAATCGATGAGACTGTTCATGATATGCCTGCACATGAAGACCCTCTTGATGTGCCTTTTACTTGTGATAACGACCCTGTTTTCCCAGAACCTCCGAATGTCCTTTGTGAAGATGACATTATAGGTGTCAGAGCCTCCATAGTCTATGAGAACTGCTTAAGACAACTGGCTACATTTCTGGTTCTGCCTGTGGATAAATGCACTGGACTTCTGAGGACTGGTGTGCCGTGCAACTCTGTTGCACCCTTTGAGATCAACATCACCACCAGGGGCACATCAGTTTCTATCGAATGGGTAAATCCAAAAAATCTCAGAATACAACAAATTTCAAATAGTATAAAATGAAAGTTTAATCAACAAGCGAAGCCAGTACCGTACATTACCAAACAAAATGTTTCTTCTGTGTGATTCTTAGAACTGTCCTAATGGACACAGATTGTGGAGGTGGAATTCCCAGCCTGTGATGAAATTTGGAATGCAAGCTGGAGATTTTCTCTTATCCACCAACATTTTGTTGTCTGGCAACAATTTTGCAAAAGTTGCCCTCTTGTTCAAATTCATGAACATGGGGATGGTGAACAGGAACACCTTCTTCTCCATTCAGGACACTTACTGCGTCAATTCAATAAAGGACTTCTGGGAAGAGAGAAGGAAAGAGACTCTTTGTCGGCTTAAAGGAAAAGATGTTGTTGTCCTTGGTGTGTAGTTGATACTGTATAATGTAACATAGCTATTGAATACACTAAGCAATGACATTATGGAAGCAATTAATTAATTTTTTCATTGTACTATATTTATGTTTCAGCGGATGGCAGAAATGACTCTCCTGGACACTGTGCACAATACTGCAGCTACACCGCCATGGAGAATGATACCAAGGAGATCATACATGTTGCCACCATAGACAAGCGGCAAACATCATGGAACTCAGTCGTCATGGAGAAGGAGGGTTTCATCCAGACTGTGGACAAGCTTACATCAGAGATAAAACTTGTGGAGATCTGCACGGATGCCCATGCCCAGATTGGTGCCCTTATGAGTAAGTATTCTAGTGATATATTTTATGAATGCATAAGTATATTATTAATTTTAATAATACAATAAAATAACATTATTTACCACTTCATAGATCCAGAGAAAGGCAAATACAAGGCCCTAGGGATTCATCACAGTCTGGACATGTGGCATGGTGCAAAGAACATAGCGAAAAAAATAGCAGCAGTAAGTGTACTAACTATACATAAAGACTATATTTGAATTCCTGTATTAAACGGTTATATTTTTTTCTTTTCAAGGCAGCAAAGATAAAAGGACAGTCCATCCTCTTGAACTGGCTGAAGGACATAGTCAACCATTTTTGGTGGTGTTGCAAGACTGCCGACACACGTGAGAAATTTCTTGTAAGCACACTTTATTTTAATTATCATTGAGTATTCTCATTAATTGCTATATTAAAGACATCTTACAATTGCGTTTTTATGTTTTGAAGGCATTATGGGTAGGCATCCTTCACCATGTCTGCAACATTCACACATGGACTATGGGAAGCTGTCAACACGGTCACCTTGAATCAGAGCAAATACGGGAAAAGGCGTGGATCCAGAGAGACTCACAGTCCCACAAAGCTTTAGTGGATATAGTCCTAAATAAGAGGTGGCAGAAAGATGTCCACAAATATCTGAAATTCAGGTAGTGTGGCTATATTTTTTTTTTTGAACAATGTATTTTATTAATGTTTGTGTTTTACTGTTCATTTACACAGAACTATACATTTGTTTGTTCTATTAGATCGACTGCAGACCTAGAGTCATTCAATAACCACATCCTGATGTATGCTAGCAAGCGCTATGCATTCAGCCCTCCAGTTTATGAGGCAAGAATTCTGCTTGCTGCTTTGGACTACAATTACCACCTGAACCGACCAACACTGAAAACATTGGATGGGAAAGAAATGTATGTTTTACAATAATATTAAAGTCATATTGAAAGTACAATATTTGAAAAAATAATTTAAGCAATGGATTGTCTTTACACTCTTGGTTGTCTATTGATCTACTAACAATTTGATGGTTTATGGTTATAATTTGTGTATTTTCAGTTTCAAAAAACTGTATAAGAAGAACGCTAGAAGATACAGTGTATATGCCATGAAAACAGAAAAAACATACAGATACATTTCCGAGCTGCAAGGAAGGATTGTAAATAACAGAATCACAAGCGGAGTGGGGATGCCTAGAAGGAGGAGCCTTCGACCAGATGACCCAAGACAGCTTGGTTTGGTGCCCCCTGTACCTGCACAAGCCACATCTGAATTGTTGCAGAGACAAGTCAGAAGAGGTCTAGGTAAGTAATAAAATATTTGACTACTATGTTGTACCCTATTACGTGTCAATGAATGATATTTGGTTTAAAATATAGTCTGTAATTGTGTGATTGCACTGTATTCAACAGGACCATTACTCCAACCAGCATCCGATATGGAAGGATCCCCATAGGAGATCACCTTGCATGTGTCCTTGTCAGCAGGATCACGAAGGAAATAATTTCAATTCAACGTCAAAATCATTGATTTCAACTAGTTTCATTTTATCGAGTTAAAAACAGTGTTAACAGCGCATATTATTCTCAGTGGTAGCTCAAATTAAAGTGTTCAATTTTGATCAATAATGAGAATTAAGGCTACAGATGTATAATGTTTTGAAAATATGTAAAAATAAAATTGATTTTGATAATTTGAAGGCAAATTTTGAAATTGTCATACTTTTAAAAAAAAACATGTTCAAATGTATATAATGGAAAATAAAACACCATGCTTTTCTATTTCTTAACTTTTATTTTTTCAATAACATAGAACTACAGATGAACAACTATAACAATATATATAACTGTAAAACATAAATTAAAATGACATAAAAATGGGAACAATAGTAATAAATATATATAGAAAAATAATAAATCAAACGGTAAATATGTACATTGGTTTGATGCCTTGATGATGCTGAGGCAGATTTGGGAGTACTTGTGGAAACTGTATGAACATGCCAGAGGGCCTGGAAGGAAATTCATAGTCCAGGAATAAAACCAGTGTAGTGTCCTTGAGGATCAGGGAACTTGTCCCTGATCCTCCGTACACAACAGCTGGGAATGACAAGTCGGTTTCCCTGGCCTAAAGCTCCATGTTGCCAATAGATAAAGTGTCTATAGGCTCCATAACGGTACTCTCGGTTGTCATCCCCAGGCTCCCTGATGTTGCCTAATGCCGTAATGTCCTCCCGGTACTGTCTGTGAATGCGAATAAAGCCTTCTTCAAGGCAGTACTGGGAGAAGTGAGGCATTAGGCTCACACAGTTAGCTTGATCCTGGCCACAGCATTTCCTCTCCTGGTCTGTAGGCATTTCCCGACAGTTACCACAAGTACACCAAGGTACTTCTGGGACTCCAGCAGAAGGTGGAGCACCGTGTCTGCGCTGATGCATTATCAAGGCATCAAAGACCAGGCCTGGCTGTCTCTCAAGCAGAAGGGTGGAGAGCTCTCGGTGTTCTTCTAGGGTCATCTCCTGTAGAAGTCTCTGAAGAAAAGGGACACAGGGAAAAATAATCAATATGCAATATTCTCAATTTATATACTCTGGTTACTGTCTCAATAATGTTGTTTTTAATATAGTATCCACTCAAAATTAACTATTATATTTTAGAATTTGTTTATTGTATTATATTTTCTGGTTACCTACTTTATATAGTGATTTCTTTTTCTTAGTATCTTGACATGCAAGCTTAGCAAATTTGACCCAGAATATCCTATAGGTTATCAATACACAATTTCTGATTCTGATAAATGATGTACATATTTTAAATATTACATATGTTGAGAATATGGTACCATATGGGGTTTAAAGTCTGGCCAGTATTAGCTAAACTTGTGTAATATTGCTTCATATAATCATTGTTGCTCAGTAAATGACAGGTTAAACTATGAAATCATGAAACTATTAACTAACGTTACAGTAACAGGGGTACATGTGCACAGAGCTACTATGTAAATAACGTTATCATTGTGTGCTTGGATTTTATAAAGTGCAGACAGGTCAGAATATAATAACGTTACAATAACTTTATAAATACAAACCTCAGTAACAGCTCTCCGGTTCCTTTGGAGGGCTAACACTCTTTCTTCATCCTCTGAGCCATCGATCCGGCGGGTAGGTCCTCCTCTGCCTCTCCCTTCCCTGACTGCACCTACAACACCTCTGCCTCTCCGTCCTCTTCCTCTTCCTCTCCCTCTCCCTCTCCCTCTCCCTCTTCCAGTTACCTCTGGTGCGTATTCAGGTTGTTCCTGACTCTGAAAACGTGTATAAACAATGCTGTCCGAGTGATGCCTCGGAAATCATAACGTTAACTATTTCCCCTTACGTAGCTGATTTGATGCTCTTACCCTTAGCTCTTACCTTGTTCTAACTAAATAGCATAGAAACTATGGTAAAGTCTGTGAATTAAAACACCAACACAATGATGATCAAATAACAATCGCAAAAACATGTTGATTTACTGTAAAATAAAGAAAATAGAATTTAATAAATATAACCCTAACCTCATTGCTTGTCTTGCTACTCTCTGCAGACTCAGACGACGACATAGTTTATTCTCTTTGACTTTATCCTACGTTGGCCACCGTAGCTTCAAAATAGAGTTTGCAATTGGAGGGAGAGGCCGCGAGTGACTTGCCGTTTGCAATTCGCAAGTCTCACCACTAGATGCCGCTAAAAATCACACATTGCTCCTTTAAAGTAGTCAAAACAGGCAGGGGTCAACAACAGCAAACACGGCAATGGAGGCAAGGCAGAGACAAACCAGATACAAGCGAAGGGTCGAGGCAGGCAGAGAATCAGAGTCCAGTGAAACAGTCCAGGGTCAGGGCAGGCAGAGAAGGGTCAGCAACGATAAACAATCCACAGGTCAAACACAGGAATCAAACTCAGGAGGATAATGCTCAGAATTGCAACCAACAGTAAAACAAGACTTCGCGGTGAGAGAATGAGAACACAAGGTATCCACCTGTTTCTGCTCTAAACAATGGGCGCCGCCATGACGACGATGCCGGTAGTCAACTTCTGGTTTCAGTCTGGTCTATGCTCTTTTGCCATGTGTTTTAGATTGTGTCATCCCTATATCGCTAAACTAAATTTGTTTTTATATTAATATTTGCTGTTTTTCAGACAGCTGCTATAAGAAAAATTGGGCCCGGTTCATGGCAACCATGCCTACTGCCTAGTGTGAGTACACCCGCAATTATGCACTTGGTCGAGGTTTATAAAGATGGCGTCTTTTTGACGCAAAGAAATAACTTAAGTCTGTGTGAACGGCGCATCACAAACACCGTTTCAATATAGTTCCTACATGACGTCAAAACATACGGGCAAATTGCCGATTTGGCGCCATTGCTGTGGGCAGAACATTAGCTAGATGAAGCTAGGGTGGCCATACGTCCGGATTTTAAGCTCCGTGTCCGGCGTCCGGCGCAGCCTCAAGCTCATTTGTCCTCCTTTTTGGAGTTGATCTGAATCGGGCAAAAAAAAAAAAAAAAAAAAAAAAAAAAAAAACGCTCTAGAATCTTTATTCAGATGCAGCAGCAGCATAGCGTCTAATGCTGTAGATTTCTAGTCAAACACATGATCGCAGGGTTGCCAACTCTCACGCATTGAGCGTGAGTTTCACGCAAAATTGAGCCAATTCTCACGCTCTCACACCACACCCCCGATTTCTCACGCTGAAGTGTGAATCCGGCCGGTCAAATCCCTGAAAGATGAGTTTATCTATAGATCTACCTGATGAGCCACTCGTGATCGATTAGTTTTTCCGCAAATTAGTTAAAAAATACACTAATCTAGAGCTTAGCTCCTAACGGCATGGACGCAAAGCCAGGACTGCAGCAAAAGCCCGTTCCTCTCTGCACTCTAAGAGTTCTGTTATCACTCCGCTCTAATCCCCTACGGGTTCTCTTACGAGAGGTTCTCTCGTATTGCGTAAGCTAGCTTACGCTACGGGAAAGATTCATCTTTGCTGAGAAGTTGAAGCCAAAAAATTATTCCATAATTTTGTAATCATTGTCAACGCAGTCTCTTCTGAGGCAGACCATGAGCGGGCTAGCTAGCGGCTCATTGGTTCGCTCAGAGAGAATGCACGAACCTATGGGAGAGCGGCGCTGAGTCCGCGGCCAATGAGCGGACGGCGCTCGCTCACTGCGTCACAGCCCGCCAAAAGGGGCGTGGCTACAGTGTATAAAGGTCGCTCTCCCAGCTCGTTCGTTGATTCTTTTTCATTCAGCGAGCAACACGCATCCGCTGTCCTGGGAAGAATCCGCCGTCGTCGAGAAGGCACCTTCTAGCGAGCTCCGGAGTCTGAGGAAGCCGGCCGTCTGCCACCTTCAGCCGCCCAGCAAGCTAGCGCCATCCGACGCGTATCCTTTACTATTCCATATTCCTAAAAGAGCAGAGCGTCTTTTTAAAGATGCCTCGTATTTCCTGCGGCTCATGCCGCTCTCCACTCGATGAAGGAGACCGCCACCCCATCGCTCTCTGTCTCGGAGTGGAACACGCAGAGCTCGCCCTCGCCAACGGAGGATGCGACCACTGCGAGGACCTGCCGCTGTCAACCCTGCGGGCTCGACTACAGGCGGTCAAAACCGCTCCAGCGCCGCCTCTCACTTCGCCGCGGAAAAAGAAACGCCGCTCCCAGAGGCCGCCGGAGCCCCCTGCGGATCCATGTGGGCCGCCGCCGCCGCCCACCGACCGCTCTCCCTCTCCGCCCCTGCCGGACTTACAGTTGCCGCCGAGTGGCCGCTCTGTCGCCTCCGATGACACCGGGGATGAGAAGGACTCTTGTTCGCCGCACGCTTCGGACAGCGAGGATTGGTCGTCGATCGGCTCATCGACGAGAGAGTCTGCGGGGACCCGCGCCGGCATCGAAGAGGAACTAACGCGCCTCCTTTCACAGGCCGTTAGCCGCCTGGGTCTCGAGTGGTCTCCTCCCCCTGAGCAACCACCGAACCGCATGGATGGGAAGTTCCTGCACCGGCGCCCGGCCCCCGCCTGCAGCCGGGCTGCACCATTCCTGCCTGAGCTTCACAGCGAGCTCACGAAATCCTGGAACGCTCCTCTTTCGGCTCGTAATCGCTCTGATGTGTCCCCTTCGCTGCGCTCAGTGGACGGAGCCGCCAAGAAGGGTTATACTGCCATGATGCCGCCCGTCGAGGACTCGGTCGCCGCTCATCTCTGCCCGCCCTCTGCTAGATGGCGGTCTTCTCATACGCTTCCCTCTAAAGCGTGCAGAGCGACCTCTAACTTCCATGCCCGCGCCTATTCCGCCGCCGGTCAGGCCGCTTCAGCGCTGCATTCGATGTCTGTCCTCCAGGTGCTCCAGAGCGACATCTTGTGCGAAATGGTGAGCAGCGGGAGGCAACCGCCCGTCCTTTCGGATCTGAGAAGCGCTACGGATCTTTCCCTTCGCGCCACTAAAGCCGCCGCACAAGCTCTGGGGAGATGCATGGCCGCCCTCTGTGTCGCCGAGAGACACTTATGGCTCACGCTTACCGACATGGGAGAGTCAGAACGCGCCGTGTTCCTCAACGCGCCTATTTCTCCTACCGGGCTCTTCGGATCTGCCGTCACGGGCATCGTTGACCGCTTCTCCGAGGTACAAAAAGCGACTCAGGCCATGAACTTGTTCCTGCCCCGCCGCTCGAGCTCTTCGACGGGCCGCTCTCACGAGCCGCCTGCCAGAACCCCACAGCAGCGCCCGCCTCAGCAAGCTCAGCAGCCCCAGCGTAGACAGGGCGGCCGCCCTCGCTCTCGCTCAGACAGCCGCCGCAGACAGCCTCCTCCCCGGGGGCCTCGACCCAAGATCGCGCTGAAGCCCGATCAACAGAAGTCTGCCTAGCACAGCTGAGAAAAAGACGGCTTTCTCCCGCTGCGGCCGGACCGCCGTCAAAGCTTCGCCCACTGTTAGTCCCCGTCTCACCGCTGACTGCAGTAGTGTTTACCGCCACAAACAAGCCGGTTTCCCTGCCCGCTTGCGAGCGACTAAAAGCCGTTTTCACGGCTACCCAGAGAGTTCACAAAAAGAGCATAAAAGCCTCAAGTGTAAAAAATGTGCCCACAAGCATGTGCTCACGTACACACACAAGCACTTAATGCCCAGGGTCTCTCACAGAGCCCATTCTCACGGAGCGTGCACTATCCGCTCCAGTAGCAGAGAACATAAGCACGCCCACGAGCCCGTGCGCGTGTCCCCCCTCTGCCCGCTCTGTCACACGGCCCATAAACTCCTCTCTGAGTCCCGTTGCCATCCACATTATAAGCGTGCCCACACCCAGTGTCCAGCCCGCTATGTGCAGCAATCAGGGCGAAATCGCCATTCAACCACTAGCCGCATGCTACGAAGCGTGGGAAGCCATCCCCGGCATCTCCCCGTGGGTTTTAAGCATAATAAAGAATGGGTATCGATTACAGTTTCGTCGCCGCCCGCCACGCTCGCGCGTGTGGCTCGAATCCACTGTCAGCCCGGCTGCTATGAACACGCTTCGCTTAGAAATAGCCAAGCTACTGCAGAAGGGCACTATAGAGAGAGTCCCGCCATCTATGACCGAGTCGGGGTTTTACGGCCGTTATTTTCTGGTTCCCAAGAAAGACGGCGGCCTCAGGCCGATCTTAGATCTCAGGGCTTTGAACAAAGCGCTCATGAAGAGACCGTTCAAAATGCTCACAGTCAGGAAACTCCTCGCGCACGTCCGCCAGGGGGACTGGTTCATCTCTCTAGACCTGAAAGACGCCTATTTTCAGATCCAGATAAACCCTCATCACAGGCCATTCCTACGTTTCGCCTTCGAGGGCCAAGTTTACCAGTATGCCGTTCTCCCGTTCGGCCTATCCTTAGCACCCCGTACGTTCACGAAGTGCATGGATACAGCGCTCGCCCCCCTGCGAAGTCAGGGGCTGCGCATACTGAATTATCTGGACGACTGGCTGATTCTAGCAGATTCCCAGACGGAGCTTCTGTCGCACCGCACAGTTCTCCTCAACCATCTGGAAGCGCTGGGACTCTCTGTCAACTGGACAAAGAGCTCTCTCCAGCCCAGTCAAACTATTTCGTTCCTTGGAATAGATTTGAATTCTATCACTATGACGGCTCACTTATCCACACAGCGCGCGCGCCGTGTTCAGCGCCTAGCCGCCTCGTTTCAGATGGGTACCCATTCATCCCTGAAATCGCTTCAGAGGATGCTGGGTCATATGGCTTCAGCCTCCGCTGTGCTACAGCTGGGTCTTCTGCACATGCGCCCCCTTCAACTCTGGTTAAAGAGCCGCGTATCCCACCACGAGTGGACGACGGGCCGCCAGATGATCAAGATTACTCAGACATGTATCACTGCACTGCAGCCATGGTCAGTAAGCGAGTGGTTTCAGAGGGGCGTTACCATGGGAACCTTTTCTCGCCGGAAAGTTATCTCGACAGACGCATCCAACTCGGGTTGGGGAGCGATTTGCGAGGGCTCACCGGCCGCCGGCCAGTGGTCGAGCCACGAGAGTTCCCTACACATAAACTGTCTGGAAATGATCGCGGTCGAGAACGCGCTGCTGCGTTTCCTCCCGCGCATACACGGTCACCACGTCCTGATTCGCTCCGACAATATGGCCGTGGTATCATACATCAACCGTCAGGGCGGCGTCAGATCCAAGAATCTCTTTCATCTGACACGCCGCATCCTATTGTGGTCCCAGAGTC